GCCCTAAAAACTAGAAAAAATGCTATTTTCAAATTTAAGCCACCATCAAATTAAACAATAAGATTTCCTTAGCATGAAAATTTTTTTCAGTAGATATACCTCAAACCGTTTTTCATTATTTTATGCCAATAAATCATTTTTGCATAGATACTGCAACACCAAAAACAAAATGATAAAAGTAAAACATTTATTAGTGAACAAATATCAACTACACTTCCAGAACCAAATCAACCATTCTATGCTATCTATGACGCATCCAATTTCGGAAAAAGCGCAACAATTTTTACTGTCATATCAAGGAAAAAACAATGAAAGCGAATACACAATTATTTAAGCAAGCAAAAATATAGGCTCTCTATCATAACGAAAGAATGCGCAGCCATCATATACACACTTACAGAAAATGAATTTTTAATACAAGTATCAAAATATCTAACAGTCAAACTTACAGACCACACACCCATAACATTTCTTTTTACACAAAAATATAACCAAAATCATAGAGAATAAAAAAAACTTCAAATTTTTTTAATGTATTCCTCAAGCCTCCATATTGCTAAGACAGCTGGAAAAACCTTGCCCTTTGAGATACGACGAGTAGAAATATAGAAAACTATGATTGACTTCCTCAAGATGAAAAATTTTTCATGCATAAGATGAAAAGGCACCATTATTAGAATTTAGAAACGCAGTAAAAAGATTCAGGTACGACTCAAACCAACACCATTCAGAAAAAGTCCTTTTTACTTTGATTGTCAAAAAAATCATTACGAAGTAGACCTAACAAGGGCAAACACATTTAAACATATCCAACATTCTTCATGGATAGAAAATATTACAAAATAGAAGAACCATAAGCAAAATCAATAACGAAAACATTATATCTATTAGAAAAAAAACAAGATAGTCGATGCATTTTTTTTGCAGGACCATTACATAAAAATGAAAAGTACACAATCTATTGCAGTTTTGATCTTAGAAATCCCGCCGATAAAATTCCTATACGTAAGTCAGAAATATAAAACTTTTTTCAACCTATACGCTCCAACTTACAAATGAATTACTTCAAAAGAATCAAAAATTGAAATCCGTTATCAGACAAATGAAATCAAGGCACAATTACAAAACAAAAATTGTCATAACTGGTATCACTATAACAGGAAAGAAACCCCATCGACGATAATTTTGAAAAAAGAGTAACACCTCCATTAAGGAAAACAGATTTTTTAGATTATCCTTATCAGGATACACTAATAGCTTGTTTACTTTCGAGTGTAATTTTAATAATTTTCACAACATCTACGTCTCAATTATTTAAAAAAAACATGTTAGTTCAGAAAAAGCATATGATAATTTTTTCAAAATGTATCTTTACCAAATGCACCGATTTGGATTTAAAAATACTTTGTGTCGTTTGTCTTACAAGTCAACTGAGTAATCATTCCCGACATCAGAAACAAATAGCAGAAAAACAAGACTTAGAAAAAAGAATGTCTATGTTTTAGTCACCGAATACCATCTGACACAAAAGGTATGTGGTGATTAAAACATTGATTTAGTTTATCATATTTGACACAAAAAGCCCAAAGTCACCATCGTCCGAAGCCAACTCTTGTATTATGATACCTTTAGACGCTTTTATGTACTCTGTAGCTATAAACACAGTACCACACTTTCATGCTTTTTATGCCTGCACGACACTTTATGAACATTGTATACCTAAGTTTGTTTTATCCGAAATCCTTTTAACAGATCATGGCACCGATTTTATAAGCAAAGTAAAAATAACCCTCTGCCACTAATGCAATATTGAACACAAACGAAAAATTTTTCATGCTACATAGACAATTGGACTAGTTGAAGTCATAATCGCTCAATATAAGGTTTTTTTAATATGTATTACGAACGGAAAAGACAAAAAAAATTGAACAGTCAACAGAAATTATTTTAATTTCACCAGCATACAAAACACAAATTACTACAATTTTTTGTTTTTTACCATACAAAATGGTTTTCATCCAAAAATTTTGCAAACTGATAATATTTTTTTAAAAAATGCGGCTAAAAAGATCCAAGGATATTGCCATTCATCACAAGATTCAGTTTGTTATCATTTCTCACCTCATACACATGATCACAATCATTTCCATCACCCAAAAGTTTTAAAACTAGCCTGTGGTACTCATAACGAGTGGATTTAAATTGACAATACAAAACTAGTTGGAACCAACACAAAGTGACAAAAAATTATTACCAACAAAAAATCTTCAATCACAAATAAAGTCTCGCTTCAGACCAGCTTCAGCCATAGAAATTGGAAATATGGACAAATACCAAAATTCTGAATCCCTACAAAACATTGAAAAAAATACAACTTGTCCAAAAAACACTACTAAATTTTTGAGAAACCAATTGAAGTTACATATAATTTTACTGACCAGATTAAAAAACAGTATATAAAGCATAGAGAAAATCTCTCACCCGATCATCCTAAAGAGTACGCTCTTCGAGAATTAACGCAACGATATTCATTTATTGAATCACCACCAGAAGCAATTAAAACAACCTTTTCAGAAATCTCTACAATATTAAAACTGAAAAATTAATTAAAAAATCTCAACAATTCTATCAATTGAAATATGGAAAAATCAAATACTGATAGAACAAAGTTTTCTACCCGAAAAAAAAAAAGAAAACTTTTGTCAAATTTCTAAACATTCGAACCACCTTCTCAAAGTCCAATAAAACGGTGAAAGCAGAATTCTACGCTAGAGTTCAAGAAAAATGACAGAACGTACTTCTCATACAGTTGATCACAAAAACGAATAATAAAGCCTCCATAAGATTCTCGTGGTTATTAGGTTTGTTCTGTTTGAATCTATTAATCAATTCCACAAGTATCTTTTTAAAATTTTGTCATTTGCCAATATTGCCAACTGCGTTCATTTCAAGGACTTACTTAAAACAAGAACTATAACTCTAGCTTTAGAACCTCCAGGTCAAAAATAAGCAGAACATTCATTTTTGATGTGAAAAGTTTCATGTTAAATTTTAAACCCCTCCCAACAAGTCTCAGTAAAAAGCAGCAAAATAGAATAAAAAAATATTCACAATTTTTTTTTAAGTTGAATTAGGAAAAATATTACAAAAATAGCATGGTGAAGATACCTCACAAAATTACCTGTCTAACCAACAAAAAAAACGGAATTAAAAACTTGAAAGCGAATTCTCCAGACTATGTTGCACCAATACCTATCAGTTTCCAACACCCTTGTCTTAATCGAATAAAAATAATTCAGCTTTTCGTAAAAGAAAAAAAAACTTTTCAAAGAACTCTCGGGTGAGTGAAATCAATTTCTGAAAGATTATTCCAAAAAAAGTTGCATCGAATCTACGAAACTTTTCTTTCATCGCCATAAAACTTTTAAAGCTTGTCTAACTTTTTTTTTATTTTTACATACCTTGAAAATTCTTAAATTTTGTTATTTTAATCTTTTTGTATGAAAGTTTTCAATTTTTTTCATCATTTTAAAAAATATCTGTTTCATTCCCAAAGCATTGACCACCTTATCAGTTCAAATTAACTCTTGTCATTATAAAAACCCTTTCTTTTGCTAAGATGTCCTTTCTAATAAAAAAAAAGAATTTCTAATCATGTTTACAATACTCCGAATATTGATGGCTTCTCTCGGCCTAACATTTTTTCAATTTCTAAGACAATCACTAGTTATAGTTTTAACAGAAATCATCAACAGAGCAAATCTTGTCGAAGAATACCACACAACCATTTCACTTAACGAAATAAGTAGAAAATAAATATCAAAAATCAACGTTACTGGTCTTACTTATGTAGAGAACCCCTTACAATCTTGGAGAACAACAAGTATTTTTTTTAAAAACGCTAACTCCGGCACATCAACACAAACCAACAAGCAAACCGCTGTACAAACGACAACTGATACCCATCCTTCAGTTTCATAAAGTTTGGGACGAGCAAGATATCAAAATCGAAATCAAACACAAGGATTAACAAAAAAAACAGATAACTCAATCAGAAGAAACAAAAACTTAACACCAAGAATTAACACCGAGAAAGTTTTTCAATATAAGTTCACCGTCAGAACTATCAAATTCTGCAACACCACAATCAGAGACTTTATCAGACAACTCTACATCTCGCAATATATGTTTTCCGCCATATATACAACTTTCATCAAAAGATATAGCTCATAACCCAATCTCTCTGCACAGAGAGAGATTACCCTTTTTATTCTCCAACCCCCTCACAAATTATAAACAAACCATTAAGACTTGACTGGAACATCTTTGCACCCTTGCATCATCAACACAGCACAGGAATTTTTAGTTGGGCTTACAGCACTATTTACATGATTTTCACCCGGACATACAAGATCATAATTTGCAAATATTAGCACTACATGAAATATTTTCAAAGTTTGAATTAACAAAAGGACATAAACTACTATACAACATCCACTACCTGTTTCCCAACTATAATTATTAGGATTTTTGTGCAAATGTATCATTTGATAGTTGTTGTGAAAAATATACTTTACCTTCTGAAAAACTCAACATCAACATCTCAAGACAATCCATCACCAAGAACAGTACCACAAGATCATTTAACAGCTCATTTTGATAACGAACAAAACCAGCAAAAAACGTTATTTATATACGCTATAAATCAAGCAACCCAAGAGCAATAAAAATCACAAGCAATAGAAACAACAAAGCTAATTGCAACTTGATTATCAAACGCCAGTTCTATGGCACTTTTAGGCTGGAAAATCACAGGAAAATTTTCTGAAGAGAGGGTAACTTGTACCCAAGTAACGACCGGAAAAAAATCGACGAATCAATCTATCAAAGCAGTATTGAACCTCTTTTACGTCCCAAACCTGACGATTGCAGACATATATTACAACGTCTACACAGCAGTAGTCTACAAGAGCCAATTTTTTTTAGGTAATCTCACTTTCATGATTATCTTTAGCTTCAATTGGGACGTGGCCAAATTCAAGCCGGACTTCAGCATAGTTCCATCTAAAGGGTATATCGCATCAGGGATGGACCTGCCTTTGGAAATCGCATTCCATCCTTCAGTTGTGAACGCAGACATCCGATACAGCAACCTCACTTGTAATATAGAGGGGGGCAAACCTCTTAAGCTCACCCTTACTGGAGTGTGTGCTGCGTGTCCTCCTACTGGAAAGGAACTTGTCCAGTTCCAATGTAGTGTGCGAGAGACCGACCGTAAAATGGTCAGCATCAGCAACAAGACCGGATCTCAGTGGATTCTGACTCCGGTTATCGAGGCCGAATTCTTCCAGGGTCCAGATACCCTGGTTATTGAAGCAGGAGCGACAAAACTGTACAACATTTCATACAAGCCATTCCGAATGACGTCGGCTGATAAGAAGCACCTGGGATCAGTTTTCTTCGCACTTCCAGACGGAAGTGAACTTTTGTATAATATGCAAGGTGCCGCGGATCCTCCAAAGCCGGTAGACACTATCATCCGGGAGGTTCCTTTCAAACAGCCTCACACTGAGTTGATTCCTGTTAGTAACTGGGAGAAGACTCCGCAGAAGTTCAAGGTCATCATAGACCTGATGAAGCCGGATAAACTGGATCCCTCTACTCAACTTAATGAGCTGGATTATTTGGACGTTCCTGGGTTGACTAAAAGAGATTATAAGCTGAATTTCTACTCGCATAAAGAAGGGAACTTCCAGGCCAAGGTATATTTCCATATTTCGAAAGATTTTTTTTGTTCGTGTTCTTTATGTGATTTAGTAGATTTTTAGACCTTTTTAGCTTCACAGCTACTTTCATCGCGTGTGTGAATTAGAACGAACACAAATCTTGAATCACTAGCAGTAGCAGAATCAAAGATACCATATGCAGGACACCTCATTTGTGGAACTCGATCAAATTTTATTGATTACAGAGGAAACAATTTTTGGCACTACACCTATAGAAGAAATTATCACCTTTAATTGACTTTGCAGATAATTGATGTTTTCAACGCATCACAGTTTCTTACAAAATTAAAAATCTCTCCGTAGGTTACATTTTGCGGCGAACATATTTTTCGGATACAGTCTTTCCTTGGGGATCACAATATCGCCTCAATATCGAACAACTAAACCCCAAAGAAGATAAATTTAATTTATTAACACCGTATTCTACAATAAGGCCACCACTAAAAAATCTTCTCAACCTTTTCAAGAAATATTCACAAAAATCCAACGTCAATAAAAAATCACAATTGCCAAAAACTAGCTGAAAGAGCAGGATTCTCAGACAACTAAGCACATGATACCAATGGATATTTTGAAAACCTCAAAAACAATTCATATCTTAGTGGTAAATATTACAGACATTAAGATCACCCTTTAGTTTTCAAGCATAAATTACCAACACCTGCAATTTACACCTGTATACACCTGCAATTTGGGAACACTTCCTTCTTATGGAATACACTCTAATTAAAAACATGACAAAAACGGAAACCAAATTGCTCATATCATATGTCAAGCGCAAAATATTACGATTTATACAAGCCAATAATTGAACAATCTCTTACTCTTAGTTTTCGATCTAAAAACTACAATGGTTTTAGTCGACAAGGAGCCAACAACTTGGAACCTCCAGTTGCTCTTTTTATGGCCCCTCTCTGTTTCATTACTCACATTCATTCGCTTCTGTCAATGTTCTTCTACCCTGTCCACAGCCGGTACCACCTCCAACTGATTCCACTATATCATCTAAACATCCCACTTGCATTCTGATAATTTGAGACAAACGGCATTTAACCTCCGCATTTTTTTAGAAACCTCAGAAGTAGAAAGCCCAGATAAACTTTTAGAGTCGGAATCCATTCCAACCACTGATTTTTCAACGCCACATTTTCCCCCAATCACTTCCAAAGCCCCAGTCATTACCCTCTCATCAAACTCTTGTTCTTCTTATACTGACTTTACCAGCACTTATACTGATTCTATCAGCACTTTCCGACCCCGTTGATAAAAATCCTAGCTCTATTACTGAGCATCAAGTTGAGCATGATTTAGAAAACTTCATACAACAGCAGCAACTTAGCACAATGCACAACATCAATTCACTAATTCACTCATTGCGCTTCTACAACCGATAACTTTTATAGCACTGTTAATCAACACACAACCGCACAAATTCTAAACAAAAGTAGAAAAAAAATAACTCTAGATATCTACAAAACCGCACACCTATTTCCCAAACATTACAAAGCCATCTTCCAGAAAACAGTAAAACACATGAAAACTTACTTCTTTCTTTTGCATGCTTCCCACAATATTGCTCTAATAACAAGGAACCGCAAAACCAATGCCACCTTTAACTCAAGGCAATAAACTTATTACGCACACTCCCATGGTTTAGCTATTAAAATTTTTGTAACTCCCCTAAACTCCCTGCTGAAAAATTTACACGCCAACATTAATCACCAACTTAATTGCACAATTCATCTCGACTACTTCAGTAGTATTTTTTTTATCAAAAACACTCAAGAGACGCATTGCATGAAAATCTAACCAATTTCCTATCGCCTATTATCATGTTAATAGATACAAGGTTAACAGATACGTGGAAGCACGGATGTCGAAGTCAACCTAAAAATACCATAAAAAAATTTTTCATCAAAACTGTTTAAATCTCTGATCTCCAGCGCATTGACAAACAACTAGAGCACATAATTGACTACGCACTAAAAATGTAGAGGATTTCAAATCTTTCTTTAGCCGTTTCGATAGCTTTCCTTTTTTTAACACCAGAGGAAAAACAAAATGTAAACTGTACTAATTAACCAAAATTAAAAACCAAGCTAAACATACTCAAACCTAGTACCATTTTATTCAAAGACACTTCACACAGCTTTGAACATCACGTAACCCACATCACTGATACATGTTTTTCAATTCAAAATAGACATCCCCCTCCTTTTTTAAATTTACCTGCTGCAATCAAGGCACTAACCTGCTTGGCACTCTCGGCAATAAGGATCCCGTCCGCCAAGTTTCTAAAAAATGAAACCGAAAAAAATTGGAAAAAAATATATCTTTCCTTCGAATGGCGCTAACCTATTGTAGTATTTTTGATCATATTCAATGAATTTTTTAATTAAGCAAAAACTTGAAAATTCAATGCAATTAATTTGTGATAAAATGCAAAAGGTTACACGAATAAATCGTAAAGTACAGATAAACCAACCTTTTTATCTGTAATTTTTCTATTAAACTCCAACTTATTCCTCAACTTGCCAACTTATGTATAAACTGTTTAAAACTCTTTAATAATTCGCATGACAATTCATAGTGAAAAAATGATCTTCAAATTTCGCAAACTGCTGATAATAACTCCAACGAACTTTCACAAATTTCAAACTTTCCTATAACCCGGTTGAAACAAAACCTAAACAACGAATGCATCTTATTTAACAACAAGGCACTATTTTGAAACCAGATTCAACTGAATATCATAATAATTTAAAACCAAAAACTGATTTTAGTTAGGACCAAGTTCAGTTTTAGTAAATCCCAGATTAACACTTATCACAGATAAACTATTTCAAATAAGTGGACACAAACACAAAATTTATCTGACAAAAACCTCAGGTATATGGAAAAGAGAAAGTTATATCAAAAGAGCACTTTATTCGATAAACCACTCTCAAGTTTACTCCGATAACTGGCACAACCCACCAATAGGACGTCCTGAGCATCCTATATAGCCGGCCTTACCAGCCGAGCTACTTACGCTTAGACCCATCGCACTCTTTTTTGCTGAGGATGGCTCCATTGTAAAACTAACCAAACTAAGATAAAAGCTTCCGCGGAAACAACTAAATGATCCATAACTAAAGCGAGAAATTCTAAAGTACAGAAATAAAATTTTAATTGATATGACAGAAAATATTTTATGAGCAGCAAAACTTAGATGATCACTTGACGACATTCCGACATTGGAATGGCAAGTTTAATAGTTTTGCTTGCTGTAGTCTCAATCTTCGCTGGATATGAAGTATGGAGTTCACAAACGAAAACAAAATAAATCCGTTGTAACAAAACAATGGCCAGTTCGATGTCAATCTCAACATACGTGTCTTTTTTCAGCTGCAACTTTTCTAAGAAAAGACAACTTTTCGTCTCGCACGGAGTCTTGCTCTAAATTGTGAAATCGACTCCCTGCAATCACGTTTCTGCTCATCACTTCAATCTCTCTGGACACACGATAATCCCCCATCATCATATTTATTTTGCAGGCATTACAGTAAACTCTCTCACAAACTCAGAAAACACTCCTATATGAAAGAACTCAGAAATTTAAAGCTTCCCCAGACCCCGCATGGGTGGAACCAGTTTGAATTTAGTTATTTCAATTATATTTTATTTCCTTGTAAATTGTTCATTACTAGCCAATCGTGATCCATAACTAAATCTTAATCTATTTTGTAAACTTGAAACCCTAGTGGTTCAGAGAATTAATAATGAAGATTGAAATCAGGTACATTTTCTGTCTTCTATTTTTGCAATAAACCCGTATATCTCTAGATCTTTTGAGACAAGAAAAGATAAGAGTAGGAATAGGATTGGTATTGGACTAAGGAGTTGAAAGAACTTCTCAGGCCGAAACTAGATAGCGTGACAAAAAACTAGATAGCGTGACAAAAAACCCCGTGTTAGATCTATCAGAGCGCGTACAAAGAGCTCTAAGCTTGATTTGAGCCCTGATTGAGTTAATTGATCATCATTTTGTTTGCTTGGTTGTATGCTCTTTCGGGAGTTCAAACTTAATATGAGAAAAGCCAATAAAAAACTTATGAACTATTTGAGCTATGGGTTATGGTGTATGGCGGTAAAGCAGTTGAGCAACAGTTTTGACGTTAATCTTAGTTTTTGAGTGCATTAATTTTAACTTTTGTTTGTTCATCAAAAGTATAATACCGTTTCTCGATATGATTTTCATACTGACCAAACGATGATTAATTTAGCAGTCAATTGGTAACTATGTTCAATAGTGATTATCATTATAAAATATACTTCTTGAGCTATTTATTCATGCAACTTGCAATAGACAAAAATGAATCGCTTGAATACCTTACACAAAACGACGAACTTTCCAATCCTGCTTTTAGTGAGGACAGCAATCCTTCTGATGTGGCAGAAAAAGGGCGGTTCACTCAACTTATCAATGAAATGAAAAGAAAGCAACTATCTAAGCAAAAGGTATTACATTAAAGCTAAATGTCGCATCATTCATTTACTTTTCGCAACTTAAGGCTTTATGTCCCAACTTAAGGCTTCATAAGGAAAAAGTACATATTCTTACCGGGATTATCCATTTTCCATCTTTTGCCAAAAAACTTCCAATTGATAAAATGGCGAAAAAATTGTTTCAGATTGTTCATTCGATACAATGGTTTTTTTTCTAGGAAACGGGTTATAAAATACGTTCACAATTTTGATTTCTTAGGCGAAGAAAAACCGCATACACTTTTTTTTGGAAATTTGTTGATCAATGCAAGCATAATCAATACAAAATAGTCAGCAAAAAATTCTAGAACATACGGAAGTTTTGTTTTTTGAATTATTTACATAAGAAAACCTTAGTCGAAAAAAATTAAAATTGAAGTTCGATAACGTTAAATGGCCAAATTTTAGAAAGGAGCCTTCAAAAAGACGACAGTCTTTTTTGTAGCCAAAGAAAAGTTTGAAAACCTCAGACTGAAGTGCTTGAACGGGTTCTTCAATTTCCGTTCTGACAACCTCACAAAGCAAACTACGTCTTTCTGCTCTTGTGTGCGCATGTTCGACGAAGCGTCAAGGAGTCTCGAAGGAAAAGATTTTCTCCCGTGTTGCTATCCATTTGCCCATGAAGTGTGTGCTGTAAAACCAAATATCGAAAAAAGTTATTCAGGTTTAAAACATTAAATAATTAAAAATTCATCATGTGTTGAACACACTTATAGTTCTTTTTTTTGCACCTGAGGCAATTAACATTTTGCCGCAAGGGGCAGTTGACACAATTTCAAAAAGTCACAACTCGTCGCAGAGCAATTTACCTTAATGATAAGTAGAAAAAAAAACAACTCGAAATATATTGGCTCAGCGACACCCAGCGACCAAACGGCCTTGCCGTACCAGGTGGGGCGTTTAAATGGCTTGGAATAATTAAAAAATGCTTGGTGTCTAAAGAAATTCGAAGAGTCCATTACCTCTGTGATAATCCCTAAATCTTATCTGATAACTAGACTAATAATACAGTTGAATTAATAGTAAAGTTTAATAAGTAAGTATGGATCAAAGAATAGAAGATAACTATAATCTCTCAATAGTTAACACAGCGACTCTCAGTCTTTAGCACCATCAAGTTGTTAGAACAATCAACGTGATTGACAGGTCTTTAATTAGTGTTATTCAAATGATCTCGAACATTAATATTAATAAGGTATAACGTCCTCTATCTTAGGTGGTCTACTCACTACCACCACATTTCCCCCTCTAGAAAAATTCATCAACGTTTGAAATTCTCTTACAAGATCACAATAAACAAAATTAGGTCAATGAGTTTAAAAGTTTTTGGGATTAGGTTTTCTTTCCTTGTAGTTCCAATTTGCTAGTCGAGAATGTTGGTCTCCTAAGTTTCCTTCTCGGTGATGGTGACGTTGTATCTTTTGATGATAACGGAATTTCCCCTGGCGAAATTGGGATAGTTTGTGACCCTTGTTTCTCTTCTACGTTTTTAACCGAGTGTTTTAGTGGGCTTCCAAAGAATTGTGTCTGCCGATTGCTTCTTCCCGACGACCTTGAGTTGTTCGAGACTTGTGAATCGTTATCGCCTTCTCCGTTTCTTTTCTCCCTTTTCTTCTCTGGTTTCCTTCTATCTGCTGTTTTATCTTGCTCCGATTTCTTTTCCGTCGTTTCTGATGGTATTTTCATCTTCCCGTCTGATTTTTCTTCCTTGTTATGTGAAGTATTTGCCTTCTCTGTTGCCGTCTTACTCTGAGTTCCCTTCATATTCTCCTTCTCTGTTGTCGGTACTGAGGGTATTGGACATTTTATGCTTTCTTCCGTTTGATTCTCAATTTGCGTTTCTTTTGTTCCGGCTGGTATTATGGAGATTGGACATTCTTCTGTCGACTCTGCCTCTTATCTCTTTTCTGCTGGTGGTACTACTTGCACCTCGTGTTCTGGGGAGCTGCTTGATGTCATGGTTGGGTCTATTACTCCTCTCCTCCACTTGGTACTTCTTTAAGTACATTTGGCGATGCTACATATCTGGAAGCTAAAGTTGGCGGGTTCTCTCTAGCTGTCTTCGTCAGCGTGGAATAAAATTTCATCGTCTTCGCATGTAGTCTGTCCAGTTTCCCGAATGGCCTGTCAAGTGTCATATTTTCCGTGTCTGAATTTTCTGTTGACGTTGAAACCGGTGAGACGTCTGGTCTCGGCAGGATATGAACCGGTCTGTTTGATCCATTTGAGCTGCACTGATGTAATGGTTTCCTCGGCGTGCTTGCGGCTGGTGTCTCTTTTCCTAAACCTGAACAATAGGCTGACTTGAATTTCGGTTTAAGTGATATGTGGTTTTTCCTAATTACTTTCCCATTTTCGGTAATGTAAGTTTTATTAGTGACTTTAACAATTTTCTCATTAAACCGCTTGAATAAAGGACGTCCCGATTTCCTGTCTAATATTTTCCGGTATACCACTACTTTCTCCGGATACTGAATAAGATTGAATTCTAGGTTACTTGATTTTGTCCTGTGCTCTGGCACCTCCGGTTTTACTCTAAATCTTAGGTTCCTTGATTCAAGTCGCTTCTGAGGCTTGCTGCTAATAATGGGTTTCTTTCAGTCAGTTTTCTCAATGCCTCAGATCCCTCCTTGTGTGAAAGATGTCTCCTGTGAAATTTCCAGTCCGATGCTGCCTTTGCCAGATTTTCTAATGCCCTGATACTCTCTGGATCTTCTCCAGTCCTCTTCATTTTTGGTGGCACGTCTCTGCTTGCCATCCCTTTCTTCACCACCTTTAATCCAGTCCTTGAGTCCGCCGATTCTCGCATCTCCTCCGGCTTCAATAGTGATCTCTCCAGTCTCTGTTGATCCAAATTTAAAGAACATTTTAGTTTATCCCTGAAATTAGACCATTCCGTATTCGGTTTCCGTCCGAAATGAAGTTCGAAAGGTAACTTCTTAAGGATGCTGTGACGTGATATTCGAATATCTTTCAAAAATGACTTGACTGCTGTTTGTATATCCTCAAAATTTGGATCCAATTGCATTGTGCCTAGTTTTTTTTATGATTTGAATACATCTTTCTACTAATCCACACCCCCGGTGGTCTCCTACTGGGCAAAAGATTTGATTTATTCCCTTCGATTTACAAAATTCTGCTACTTTCGCATTTTTGAATCCCGAATTTTGATCTGTCTTTAAATTCTTTGGTATGGTATGTTGGTGTATGTAGTTTTTTAAGAATTTGAGTATTTTTTCGCTCCCCGACTTCCTGGGGATCATGGCAGAAGGGCATTTTGAAAATCGATCAATAGCGACTATTATGAATAGTTTTTTTCCTTTAGAATCGAACATTGGGCCAGCAAGGTCTATTTGTAATTCCTCGTTCACCTTTGATAATTCTGGTAAGGGTTCTGCCGAATTGAATGTTTTAGACGTTTTAAGGTTCTTACCATACGCTGAACATGATCTGCAGGTTTGGCATAAATCAATGATCTCCCTATGCATTTTCGGCCACCTCAGATATTGTGCCGCGTCCACCATTGCCTCCTGGCCTGGGTGTGTTCTGTGCAATCGGGACATTACTGCTTTCCTCAGACAAGTTGGTATTGCCACTCTATTGTCAAGAATGATGCAGTCGTTGATTACTGAGGCGTCGTCCCAAAAGTTTGCCATGTAGCTGCCTAATCTCAAGAATCCTTCTCTATCCTTCGCTAGGATGTGTTTCCTTAGTTGGCCTAACTGGCTGTCTTCCATCGTGAGTTCCCCCAATAGATACGCATCGAGTATGTTATGGAGGCCTGTGGTGAATGATTTCTTGTTTGTGTTCACTGGAGCTTCTTGTTCTTTCTTCTTTCCAACTTTATCTGCTATCGAGTTCACCCTCACTGTCCTTTTCATTCTGTTTGTTCTGAAGTTTGCCTTCATTCGAGCGTAGTTCATCTTGTTCTTGCTTACGATATTGATCCTTTTCCTTTTCCTGCTCTCGGTTATCATCTCCACTGTCTGTCTTGTTTCTGCTCTATTTCTTTCCTCAATCGGGTTTTCCATCTGTTTTATGGATGGCAGGATGAAATTACTCATTTTCCTATGAAAATTTTGTTTTGTTGAATTGATTATGAATTTACTTGAGCTGTTGGTGTTTAAGTTTAAGGTCGGGCACAATGAATTTTGTATATTTTTGGCTGAATGTAACTCCATTGCTTCTGATTGGTTGGATTTTGTTACGACGCCCTCTCGTGGTGAACTGGTTAGATATGGCGAGGTTGTGAATAAATAAAAATTTTGCCGAATCTGATTGGTTACAATTTTCACCACATGACTTTCCGCCCTCTCGTGATGAGTTGTGCATTTGCATATCTTGTTTTGATTGGTTGTTGTTTTTGCCGCATATATTTCCGATCTGTACTTGAGGGATGTGAATTTGCATACATTGATCTGATTGGGTAGTGTCACTTCCGCATGACGATGCGCCCTCTTGCGGATGTGTGAACATTTGCATATCTGATCGTGATTGGTTGATACATGTTCCTTCCGTATCGGATGTTTTGTTACTTTTTGCGGTTCTGCATCGAAGATCTGATTGGATAAATTCTTTGTACGAGATATCGACGCCCCCTTGCGGTGCTTCGGAAATTGGGTGTTTTCCTCCGTTCTCCCTCCCAATTAGTGTAAGTCTCTTTGAAATTATCCTGTTTTCCTCTAGGTGGGCCTTGACTAATTGGATTTTTTCAATTTCTTTTGTCGGCGCTGGAGTGTTAATCACCCTACATGCCTCATCAAAATTTTCGATGGCTTTGACTACAAACTGTTCTTCGTATGTTGATGTAGGTGGTGCCTCAAACTTAGGGCTTCTTGATAAGTAATCTGCCATTCCTATTTTAGCTCCTTCGATGTGAGAAATTGTATATTCGAATGGTAGCATTCTGTCTGCCCATCTTGTCAGCCTGGATTGGTATGTTTTGTTGCCCCGATTTTCTGTTAATGCTGCGACTATGGCCTTGTGGTCGGTTAATATTTGGAATTGGTTTCCCAATAAATAGTTTCTAAAGAATTCAAATGACCATACCACCGCTAGTAGTTCGAGCTCGTTAGTGCTGTACTTTTGTTCAGCTGCATTCAAAAATCTTGATGTGAATGCGATTGGTACCCATTTGTCTAGTTCCAATTCTTGCTCTAATGCAGCCCCCAATCCTTTATGACTGGCGTCTTATTTAATCCTGCATTGTTTGGTGGCATCGTAATGGTGCATTTTTGTTATGTTGGCGATTAGTTCCAGGGTTTTTATAAATGCTTCTTCACTCCAAATGATTTTCTCTTTGATTTCCGCCTTCAATGATGGGCGTAATGGTTCGGTGTGTTTTTGGAGATTGGGTATAAATCTGGACATATGATTTCAAATACCCATGAAGGATCTCAATTGTTTCAGAGATTTTGGCGGTTGTAATGCCATTACTGCTTCTATCTTCGAGTGTTTTGGTCTCACTTCTGTCTCATCTAACTCGAATCCCAGCCAGATTAATTTTGTTTTTGAAAATTCACATTTGCTGAGTTTTAGCGCAAATCCTTCTTCGTCTGGCCTTGACAGAACTTTGTCAACCGTTTCATGTGTTCCGTGACTGAACCTTTTGATACTATCAGTATGTCATCTAAGAAACAGAAGACTCCTTGAATTCCTTGGATTGTGTTGTCCATTGCCTTCTGGAATTCTTTTGGCATGTCCATTACGTGGCCAATCCGTGTTATTTCAATAGTCAGATTTGACTATTAGTGTACATGGATTCCGAATTCAAATGATATTACATGCACATGCCATGGATTCCGCGTTCAAATACTCGCATGGCGGCACGAACAGGCATATACGAAAAATCCCGGAATCCGGGACAATCAATTAAACCACCGAAAATTGGCAAAATCCCGGAATCCATGGTATAGCGAACAATTACTTGAATTCGGAATCCAGGACATGGTCCCGGAATCCGAGCCATTTTACTCAACCACTAAACAAATAGTTGCTAAACAAATAGTTGATAAATTCAATACACTATAACCATGGAATCCAAGACGTTGGAATCCAGTGAGAAAAATGGCATGGAATCCAAGACTTTTATATTTTTGAATTAATCTGGCAGAAGTTTACAGTTTTTAAGCAATTTTATTCCATCTTTTTTGTTTAGTTTGTCCTACAACTTATTATAACTGCAACTATAATATACGTGCTAAAATACTGTATTCCGATGAAAAAAGTTGTGGGTACAATCGTTTGATCAAA